TGTGTGTGTGTGTGTGTGTGTGTGTAGGTGGGGGTGGGGGTGGTGGTGAGGGTGGATTTTCCCTGGCTGTGCCCTTGTGGCATAGTGGTTATGCGTTGGGCTACGAGCTGCAAGGTTAGCAGTTGGAAACCACCAGCCACTTTGTGGGAGAGAGATGGGGCTGCTGACTCCCAGAAAGAGTGACAGTGTGGGAAACATACGGGGGCTGTTCTCCCCTGCCCTGTAGGGTCACTGTGAGACAACATCAACTTGATGGCAGTGAGTTGGGCGTTTGGTGCCCTGTTTCATTGCTCCGTGCAGCCATGCTTGAGGTTGTTGGCTGAGCAACATGGGCCATGTCTTCTACACGGAGCCCACTTGGAAATGGAAGGAACCACTGCAGCTGTCACGAATGGTTGGTGTTTATTGAGCAGGTGCTGTGTGCCAGGCCCAGTGTCAAACCCTTTACATATTTATCCAAGAGGCCTGGCAGAAGGGGAAATCCCTTACTCCCCACACTCATTGGGATAGAGCTGGGACCAAGCCCGGACTCTGCACCCTTCACTCTGCCGCATCTTAGAAGCCCAGTGTCTGGCAGCAACCCTCTGAGAGGCCCATCTTACAAGTCCCAGGGGCCATGGGAGCTCCTGGGGCCTATGTGCGTGTGTGCACGTGTATGCCTCTCCGACGGAGGGTGAGTGTGGGCTTCATGAGCGTGTGCTCTTTATTGTGAGAGTGTGCATAGGTGCCTCGTGTGTACGTGTTTATTGGTGAGCATGTGCCAGGAGGTAGTTTTGCCAGATATGTGCATGAGAATGCATGGGTCCATAGATGCCCATGTTCTATTGTGTGCAGATGTATGTCTCCCAGTGTGAGCTCAGGTAAGGGTGTGTGTGTTGGGCCGGGTTGTCTAGAGAAACAAATCCAGTGATACTCATCTATGTGTAAGAAAGAACTTTATATCAAGAAGGAAGTATATGTCAAGAAGGCGGCATCCCAGTTGAACTCAAGCCATTAAACCCAATGCTAGTCCATAAGTCCCTCTTCAGACTCCCACAGCCACATGGTGGTGACGCAGAATGGTGAACCGGGAAGCAGGAAGACCACAGGCCAGTGGGTGCAGAGCCTTGTGGATCCAAGGTTGGTGGAAACATGGCAGGATGCTGATAGCAATCAGGGTCTGGGACCGAGTCCCAGCATGCAGGAAGGCAACGCACCAGAGAGAGGCAATTCTCAGAGTCCCTCACTCTCGTCCAAGAGGCTGCACCCCCAAGGAAGTGCCCTCAAGCTACCACTGGATTGACGGGTTTGACTCCACCCCTAGCCAGGAGTGTCTAGTTGACAATAAAATCATCCCTGCCAGAGTGTGTGTGCACGTGTGTTGCACGTGTGTGTGCCTGTGCACAGAAC